AAACTTAGCTTTTTATTAGACGGTGTCAAAAACTTAATGTGTCTTTGTATTGGGGTGAAAAATTTTTTTTTCACTTTGTTAAATCTCATGTGTATTTATACTGTTTAATCTTATTCAATTTGTTGGGGTATTTTTTAGAGTCTATTTGGTAATTACTATTAGTTAGCTTATATCTTATTTAATTAGCTTATAAACTTGTTATATTCAAACAAGTTTAGTTCGGTTGAACGAGTTTTTTTTTAAAAAAAAATTGAAGCTAATCCCATAATTTCTTCATATAATTTTTCAATTAAGCCCGTTAAAATTTTTATTGCAACTAACTTATCAATTAATTTTACCAAATATTTTTATTATAACCGTTAGTTTTTTCAACCATAAGTTTGAAATCTACTTATATGATAGCTTATCAACTAAGTTTATCAAACATAAATTGTAGCCCATGTGTTGCAACCCTTAATATTTCAATAATTTTTAGAATTCAAAGACCTTATTTCTTTTAGCATTATTATTAAAATAAATAAAATGATAAAATACTATTTCAATCGATCATATTCCTCACTTTTCAAAGATATTAGACTTGTTTGATATACATGTCCCAACTCACAATCCTACCTACCTAAAAATTAGAGTATTTTATTGAGGCTCTAACAATATTATTCATTATTCAATTAGATTTGAACCAAAAAAAGTAAATATATGTGAAATTTTTTGAAATTTATAAATATGTTTAATTAAGGTCCAAACCTCTCGATTTAACCCAAAACCATATCTATAAAAAGAAAATAACTATTTATAAATAGTAAAATAAAATAAAATAAAGCATTTAATGCATACTTTTTTTTGAAACTTTTTAAATATATGCATTAATTGCTTTCATGTACACATTTTTAAATAAGGTCAAATCAAATATGATATAAAATATTGTTCTTTTTAATATGTTTATTATTATTTGCAATAATTTCATTGAAATCTATTATAATAAACTATAAGATTGGAATTCCATTATTTATGTTGATAAGATTTTGGTCAAGATAAATACGAAAACATATTGTAACCATAATATTAAATTTTTTCACAAATAATTATTTTTTATCCTAAAATATTTATAGAAAAATTGTAACTGATTAATCAGGAGAAATCAAGTTGGTGAATTAATCTTCGCCAATATATTTTTTTCTTAAGTTTTATTTCCTTATATATAAAAATAAGCTATTATTCAAATTAATATAATATACCATTTAGGTGATAATGACCAGATACATTGAATATTTTACTATGGTAAAAAAATTAATATTGAAATACATTAACTATTATTTAAAATTTATTTGTATATTATTGTCAACCATGTTTAATTGTTTTATCTTTTTTACTTTGATTTTTTTATAATGAAATTCTTTTGAAATATATTTTCATTTCATAGTATCCTAAATAAACTATAAAGTCTTATGATGCAGATTAGAAAATATGTTGATTATAAAAGTGATTGAGTTTTTGGCATTTGCGAAATGAAAGTTGTTTAATTAGTGTATAAAATTAAATTCCAAAAAATACATGTGTATATTTTGTAAAATATTTATACATTATTTAATTTTAAATTTATTAACATAATTTAAATTGATTACATAAATAAATAATACTAACGTGCATTAAATATTTTTTTATTGCTAAATAAAAAGAAAAAGAAGATGTACTGATTAGTTTATAATAAAATAATAATTAAGTATTATAAGGTGAACAACAATAAATAAAATTGTTATTTTATTTTATATCAAATAATAAATATATATACTAAAATCAATTATATTTTTATAAATATGTTAGTGAAATAATATATTAATTAACGCTAACGTGGATTATTAGATAAATTTCTCGTCTCCTTCAGCCCCAAATTGCCTCAACCCTAGTCGCCCAATTCGAGCATTGTCGTCGCCCCCTTAACGGCGGTCTGGAGTCGTCGGTCGACGGCCTCCACCGCTCACTCAAGACGGGCCTGCGCTTGTCCCTTTTCGTGGTCCCTGCTCTAGATTCGTGGGTTTGTCGATAGGGCGTGTTTGGAGGCGGCTGCGGTGGGTCGAGTCGCAGTGGCCGCGCTTGGTTGTGGCTTGGTTTGTCGAGGTGTCCCGGGCTGAGTTGCTGTCTCCTCGGTCCCTCTCCTCTCCCCGTCATTTGTGGCTCTGTCCTTCTGCACCGGTGAAGCTGCGGCTGGGACGGCGAGCTTCCGTCACCGACAACCGGCAGCGTCGTACGGTGGTAAGCTTCTCCCTTTTGCTGCTTTGTCTCGGTTTCTTTCGCTGCGACAGGTGGAGGCTTCTCGGTGGTCGGCTGAGATCTCCTCGATTCTCTGTTGGCTGCTTACGGGGATTGGACGGACTTGACAGCCCTCTTGGCTGGGTCACTTGGACAATGCCTAGCATTGTAGGCTTTCGGCCCTTTCTTCTTCTATTTCGGCTGCCGGGCCGGTTTGGTTGAGGCTACCCAGGACTACTTGGTAGTATTGTGGCGGAGTCGGTTCGGCTGGGGGTCGGTTGTTCCTTCAATTGTGTGGAGTGCGGGCTAAGCCCTTGGTTAGTTGTTGGATTGCCGAGCACTCGCCTTGCTAGGCCTATGCAGTGGTGGGCGGAGGTTTGGTTCTCTGAAGCTGGCTTCGGATTTGGTTTGTTCGGCTGACTTCTGGATTCGACTGTTGTGGGGGACGTAATAGTTCTAGTCTGTAGTTAGTTTGTTTAGATTGTGTTGTGTTGTGAGTGTTTTGTGCCTCTTGTCTTTGTGTTTTTGTGTTTTTTTGGTCTGGGCCGTTGGCCCCTGTTTACCTGGGTGTTACCTTTATTCTCCTGTTGGGAGCCAACACCTAGGCATTCTCCTGTTGGGAGCCTTTTGTTTTGTGATTGTGTTTTAGTTATTTTTTTTTTCTCTCGTTGGGAGCTAGTTTCTAGTTGTTTGTGTTTGAGTTTGGTTTTCTTCTGGCGTTGCCAGCGATTCTAGGCGGACTTCGGTCTAGCCTCCCAGTTTGTAATTCCGCACCTTTGTGCGCCTTTTATATAGTACTTCTATCGTTTTGGAAAAAAAAAACGCTAACGTGATCATATTGATGTGTTGGTTAAAAAAACAACTCTGATTAAAAGCGATAGAAACTACATGATCAAACTATATTGATTGGTAGACTTAAACGGACAATATCTATAAAAATAACTCAATTAATATATTTATCTTGTACATCGCACGGGCAACTACGTACTAATTTTTACCAAAACATTTTTGTTTTTCATTGTCACTAGTATTAATACCCATGTACAATATGGGTGTTGAGTTAATAAATATATGTATAAAGTTATTTATTTCTAATACCAAACCTAACTCCAGAGCAAAAATAATATAAAAACAACATCACAAAGTATAGATTTTTGTCATTTTAGCATTCGAAAAGTGAGAATCTACCACCTAACTTCAACACGTTTTGAATTAATATATAGGGAGGGATTCGTCACGAGGTCGTATTGTTTTTTGAATTGAATATTACAGAGAAAAAGAAGACTAACAAAGTCAAAAAGGCAAAAACCCCGTATCCTATCTTGCCTTTCTTTGGAGTTTGGACCATTGATTAAAACGTATTAATTTCTAATTACACCTAAAGTTGAAAGCACAAAGTTGCAAAACCAATGGACGGCCGGGCCATGGTTTTCACTTTTCTCGTATGAAGCTACGAAATAAGATTGATTTCAGATGACAATGGTGGTGCCCTGGTGTTTGGATTCCTATTGAAAAAGTTAACAAACTCAGTTATCCATTGCCGTCATCACAAGCTACGCCTGTACGGATCAAACCCGAAAAGGTTGGTCTGAGTCTGCTTTATTTTTCTTCACTCAATCCCCGTTCTCTTCCTCGACAGCCCACCATGAAATTTTTACATTACGATCGAAGATTTTAAGGATGTTATCCATAGAAATGGTGCCTCCGCTTAACCCATTTTTTTTCCGGTGGATTGTGATTTTTCCTTTTGGGGATTTCAGAGTTTATTTGGTGATTTTATCCTGTTTTCTGTTCTGCTTTTTGGCTGGCGATGACTTTGGTTGAGGGGTTTACATGGGGCTTTGAGGGGTTTTTGTTAGAGTCTTGATTCCACCAAGCCTTAGAGATTTTTTGAACTTAATGTGAAGTTTCTTTTGTTTTATTTTCCTTGGTTTAGCAGTTTATTCTCATTGGGCTAGATTATATGTGGAGCTTGAATTTCATGGGGATCAAGATTGCCTTTTGTATTGATAGATGTGGATGATTGATTTGGATCTGGAAGTGATTGAAATGTGACTGACTGGTTTAATGAATTGGTATTCAAATTGTTGTTCTTCGATATTCGAACTTTTTGTGATGATCAATGATCTGTATAAAGTTCTCTTATTTGTTTCTTTTTTCAACTACTGATTTCCGGAATCGATAGGTAATATGATTATTTGAGCTTGTACATACAATTCTCCTTTAACCTTTCCTATAACAAGTTTTTGAAATATTCATGCTAGTTTCTTTAGGTTAGATTGTGCTCTATTCCGTAATCAGAAAGAATAGAAAACATGCTAGGGCATTCCAAGTAACCCAGACTATGTCCATCTATACTCATCTATACTTATATGACTGATTTTCAAACCTTTCCCTGTATGCAATTGCTTTTGTTTGAGGACATGATCATTTGTTCAGGGTCCTTCACATTTTCACTAGCATCATGAATATCCATTTTGAACAATTGAATTTGTCTCTAAATATCTGTATCTATATGCAGAATAACATTTAAGTGGCCATCACTTCTGCTGTCCTCTGAGGAATCTTGTTCAATCTTATCCAGACCTCTCGACCTTGTATAGTAGACTTAGAAGGTCGCTCACTACAACCAGGCCGGCCTTACTGTGTTATCTGATTTCATACGCATATGATGTCAGCGTAACTCAATAGTCACCCAGAAACAAATAAAAATGGGTCCAAGAGTTAAGTGGACCATTTTATTTTTGTTCTTTATGCTCGTATTAAGTATTGCTGTTACCGCTCAACGCATAGATGAATCCTCACAAAGAATAACTGCCCCAAAAAGGAATGCGGGGAGTGGTGTGATAGATGGGTCGGGCCTTGAGCATATTGTTAACTCGGATAAGGGTGTTAATAGGATGGGCGAGTGGCAGGTTGGTAATAGTCGGGTTTCAGTGTCGACAGTTGCACTTTTCACTCTGGCAATGGCCGCTGCCACTGGTTTGGGTGCAGTACCTTTCTTTTTCCTGGAGCTCGATCCTCAGTGGGCTGGGATATGCAATGGAATGGCTGCAGGGGTTATGCTTGCTGCCAGCTTTGACCTTATACAGGAAGGACAGGGACACGGGAGTGGAAGTTGGGTTGTCTTGGGTATTTTGGCTGGTGGGGTTTTCATATGGCTTTGCAAGAAGGTGAAAACTTGTTGACCTGTAATTTATTTATTAATTTGTAATTTTCATTCATTTTGCTGTTGGATTTGAATATGCATTTGTTTTTTTGGCCGTGCCGTGTTTTTCTGTTCATGATTATTTCATCTTGCTATCTGACATGATTATGGATTTTTTGAATTGATGTAATTAAATCAAAGATAATATGTAGGGTTGTATTGGCTGATGCCTCCTTTAATTTTTTTTTGGTTAGTAACTTTTGTGGTTATAATGGTTCATATGAGTACAAGTTACTTAGTTGACTGTGTAGAAGCAATCAGTTTGTTTTCCTGTCTCGATTTTATTGTATTTTTTTATCATTCTTCTCTTATTTTCTTTATACATGCTTCATCTTTCAAACACAGAAAATTGTTTGCTTTCTTTGCTTTTTCTGTGGATCTGTACCTGTTATGTGACACATAGTTGTGTGAGTCCACGTGTTTGTCGACATTGTTGTTCAATATAGCAGGATCTTCAATATCTGAATGCATAACCTATTTTAGCAATGCTGGAGATATTTAGGACCCAGAACCGACTCTTATTTCACAATTGGTAAATGCGAAAAACTAAAGTGATCCCTTCATTCAGACATGTTTCGATATCACTACTCCTTTTATTATCTATGTTGATAAATTATGTACTGATATCATCTTATGTTGTCATCATATTAGAATACCTGCCAACTTTCTGATTTGTCTATTGGTGAAGATGCTTCTTACAATGGCATCATAACACAGAATATGAAGAGAAATCAGATTATACTCATGATCTGTACTCTTTTTCTAAATTGTAGCTAACTGTTAGAATCTTATGCATTGTATGATTGTTAAACTTTACCAAAAGCTACGCCAGTTGTTGATTTTATTAATAGTTGCCAATCTAATTAGTATATTACATTGGGCTATTGGAATTTCTTGATCTTTTCAGTATACACCTACCTATCATCTTTTATTTTTTCCCATATTCAGTTTCTCGAACAATATGGTGAAGTGAGCATGCTGGACATAAAGGGTGCTGATGCAGCTAAGGTCATTCTTGTCGTTGGAATTATGACCCTTCATTCTTTTGGCGAGGGTTCAGGTGTTGGGGTTTCATTTGCTGGTTCAAAGGGCTTGTCTCAAGGGATACTGGTTACTTTGGCAATTGCCGTTCACAATATACCCGAGGGATTGGCCGTGAGTATGGTCCTGGCATCGAGAGGAGTTTCCCCACAGAAAGCCATGTTGTGGAGCGTAATTACTTCTCTTCCCCAGGTGAGTTCGTATTTTTTTTTTTATGGTGACAACCATGCAATACATGGTTGTTAATGACAAGCATTGCAATAACTGTAGATTGCCCAATTGCTGAACTAACTAAAAGGTTTAGTCTTGGCTAACTATTTTTTGTGTGGGTTGGGTCAATATCCTTTTGCTTATGTATTGTTGTGATAATATTAGCTTTTTATGTAATCTGTGGACGCAGCCTATTGTAGCAGTTCCGTCCTTTATTTGTGCTGATGCATTTAACAAGTTTTTGCCATTTGCCACGGGATTTGCTGCTGGATGTATGATTTGGATGGTTATGGCTGAGGTCCTTCCTGATGGTTTTAAGGTAACCTTACTGGTTATTAGTTATGCTTTAAACTGAACACGTGTGTTTGTGTGTGTATCGAAAGTAATTAGGAAGCGTGGTGAGACCAATATAAGCATGATTTTCTTTCTTAGTACATTGCTTAAAGTTGGTGAGGTGTAGTACTTTGTTGATTGGCACCTCATCGTTATCTTCGTCCAATCTTTCATATTACAGGAATCTTCCCCATCTCATGTGGCGTCTGCTGCAACTCTTTCTGTGGCATTTATGGAAGCCCTTGGTGCTCTTTTCGAGCACTTTAGCCACAGCTACAAGTAAGCTTTTTTTTTTCTCCTCCTTTGTGTGTATGATTAATTACCAAAAACAAAATATGCGTTTTTTTTTGTTTCTTATTTTTTATTTTTTTTTCACAGTTCTACTTTATCCTTTAAAGATTTACAGTTATGGAGCGCCCTATTCTGTTATTACTTCGAAGAAACGACTTTTGAGTGACTTCAGTGCACACAACAGAAGCTGTTAATGTTATTAATTCAACAATGCTTATGTTTGACTAATTACAATACAGCCCGGAGGATGCATCAGGCTTCTTGGTCTCCCTCGTGTTTGGGCTGGGTCCTCTCCTGGGCGGTGGAGCCCTCGTGGGCTTGGCCCTCTCGTTGCGCCTCCAACACGCGGTCCTCACGGGCGTGGCCTCGGGCATTGCGTTTGTCCTCGGCGCATGGCGGCCACTCCAACTCCTCCTCTCCTCCAAGATGGGCTTCCTCCGCCTCCTCTCCCTCATCGCCCTCGGCTCCGCCTCCCTCCACCTTCCCTCCTCCTTCATCTCCAAACTAAGCAACACCAAGAAAACCTCCGCCAGCACGCTCCCCAGCGGCCTCCCACCACCGCACCTGAGCGCCCTCACTCTGCAGGCGGCCTTGTCGTGCGGCGCCATAGCCCTCCACGCCCTCGCAGAGGGTCTCGCCCTCGGGGTGGCGGCCCCCAAGGCGTACGGCCTCGGCCGACACATGCTCCTGCCCGTCTCCCTCCACGGCCTGCCCCGCGGGGCGGCTGCTGCCAGCTGCATCTACGGGGCCACCGACAGCTGGCACGGCTCGCTGCTGTCCGCGGCGCTCGTCGGGCTAGCGGGCCCGGTGTCGGCCATCGGGGCGATCCTAGCGGGGATGAGCAGCTACGGCGGGCCGGACCTCGCGATGGTGGTCGCGTGTGGGGGCGTGTTCCCGTGCTTTGCAGGGATCGTGAGGCGGGCTGCCAGGGTGGACAGGCGGAGGACGGGACTTGGGCTTGTGGTAGGGATCTCGTTTGCGGCGCTGTGCCTGACGTTCACGAGGCTGGTGTGCCTGCACACGCCCTACTGCAACTCGGCCCCGGAGGCTGTTAGGTGACTGATCTGATGTTTGGCCGCGCGTGTATAATAATAAAATATATACTCAATTTCATATAGTAGTAAGGATTAAGGTTATTGTTGGCGTGGATGGTCGTCTATATTGTTCATGTTAATCATCAATCAGTGACTATATTGGCTCATCTGTGCCCCCTTTTTCAGTCTCTCTTTAATTTTGGACACCATGAAACAAAAGCCATGGACTCTGTTATGCAGTCTTCAGTTTTCACTACCTTATATTTAATGTGGAAATTAGCGGCTTTTAATAAATATAAAACTGATCAGCCGGCCCGGTCTACGAATCTAATTGGATTAATTGAGTTAAAGAATTTGACTTTAGAGCATCTACAATGCATTGGGTCTAGTCTTACCTATGTGGCATGTAAATAAACCCAAGTCTTTGATGACATGGATAAAAGTATGTAAATTTAATAAAACTTACTCCAATGCAAAGAGACTAGGTCTCTACTTGGGTCTAAAATAGACTTAAGGGTAGACCGGGTCTCTTTTTCTGGCTGCCACATCAGCAGGAGTTGCATTGGAGAATACATTTTTGTAGACTAGGTCTATTTCTTATGTGTCATACAATTTTTTTATGATTGAACCTAAAGCATTGTGGATGCTCTTAGGGGTTTGGAGACAGCCCATGCGAGAATGAAGCATTCAATAGTAACATAATGATGCATCAACTTTGACATGGCAATGCGCATCACCGTTTTGGTATTTTGCATCTATGCCATCTCATTTAAAATCAACAACACATGTAGTAATATCATTGCTAAGCATAAACATCATTTTTTTTGTGGGTTTTTTATATTAAACTTTTATGTCAAATAACTTTATGTATATTATAATTACACATGTGATGCACGTGATGGAGAATGGTTTTGACCGATTAAGTTTAGTGAGATAAATTTAATTTATTAAACATACTGCAGAACAAAATGAAATATATAACAAATAAGCTCCTAATGGTTTTTTTTTTTCTTTCAAAAATAACATAATAACTTTCTAATATAAAAATAATTGATATAATCCCAACAAAAAGAAAAATGAGTCCTTAATTAAATAAAAATAGACTAAATAACTAAATAAGGGCATATTGTATATGATAGATGCATTAGTTCTTCCTTATGTTAGATGATTCATAATAAAAGTATAAATTCTAGCCTTACATGCTGAAATAAAATTAATTGACCCTTTAAAGGTCATAAAAGTCAAGTCAATGTGTTATACTCCTCGAGATAGAAGGGAGTTTAACATAAAAATTGAAGAATTACTAAATATGAATTCAATTCAACCTAGTAAATCCCACATAGTAGTCTAGATTTTCTAGTCGAAAATGAAGTTGAATAACGAAGACCAAAGAGGCATATGGTTATTAACTACAAAAAGATTAAATGATAATACATAAACGGATGGGTATAATTTACCTAAGAAAAAAAGGACTATTTCATTTAATTAAAAATGTGAAATGGGTTAGTACATTCGACTGTAAGAGTAAATTCTGGCAAGTCTCGCTGAAACAAGAATGTAGAAAGTTAACAACATTTAGTTACCCAAATGAATAGTTTGAATGAAATGTTGTTCCTTCTAGGCTAAAATAAGCTCTTGGATTATTTTAACGGAGAATTGATAATGCTCTATGTTTAAAAGACTCGAGGAAAACAATTAATAAAATTTGCACGGTATATTTTGATGATATAATTGTCTTCAGCAAACCTGATCAAGAACATTCTAAGTGCATAATTTCTAAGAATCTTAAACTATGTACAAGGCTACATAGCCAATTTGATAGCAATACGTAAACCTTTACAATCAAAATTAAAAAAGGATATCTTCTTACTTGGTCACAAAGTGATACACCTTATGTGGAAAAGATAAAGAGAAAACTCAAAATTCTGCCCACACTATATCACCCTCAAGAAAATGATAGAATGATTTTAGAAACGGACTCCTCTGACTTTTACTGGAGCGCAGTTTTAAAACCAAAGCCAATAAACTCTAACACTATCATATTAATGAAAAAGAATGGCTCACAGTTTTATGCGACATTCGAAAATTCAAAATATATCTTATCTCCAACAAATTTTTAGTAAGATCTGATTATAAAAATTTCATTTATTTTGTTAAAAATAAATTTAAGGGAGATTACAAACAAGATAGGTTGATTAGGTGATTGTTGATGATCGGAATCGGTCAATGGTTAAATAAAGATTTAAGGTTGAGAGATATGAGAAAAAAAAAAAGGTTTACGAAGGAAATCAGTTTTATTACTTCAATTACTTGACCGACCTCTGAAGTTGAGATTGATTCTTTGCTTACACTTGGATAATTACAAAGCTTTTATTACAGAGTTATTGTATAGAGAGAGAGAGAGAGAGAGAGAGAGAGAGAGAGAGAGTTTGGCAGAATGTTCAACAACCCTCAACAAATAAGGACGAATTCCTATTTATTGTGGCATAAACCGGTATTGTTCATCCTGGTGTTGCAACGCTCTGGCGGACATTTAATGAGGTAAGAGCTCAAATGATTACATGTCAGACATTGAATGCGCACATGTGGAGCATTTAATGCTAACAGGTCGTCCTTCCGATCTAGGTGTGGTAAGGTGGCAAACTAGGGTGGCGCGTCCCATCGATAATCATCACCTGACAATGAAAAGTGGCAATGTTATACGATTTTTAGGCCCTTTATGCGCACCACAACCTGACCTCGTTGAACTTTCAGGTTAGACTTTCACCTCCACTTGGTTGTCTTCAGCTTTTGACCTTCGAGGGTCTCCTGGGTTCCATACTCCGAGAGATTGACCTCAATACCTCATCCTTCGAGAGTTAAGGAGTCAACCTCTGAATACGGCCTACATGGCATCTTTAATAATCTTTATCATGTGTTCAGCTCGGACCTTCTGATATTGGAGTTGCAGACCCGAATTCCGGGTCATCTTCGCTAAATCGCCGCTCTTGATATTAACAGTGGAAATTAAACTTAAACCATATCAATTTGATGTTGAAGACATACAAGTTTATAAAAATTATCTTGATGATCGTTCAACAAGGGAATTTGCAGTAGTTGGCTGAAGAAATAGGTACTTGGTCACAACCAACAAAAAATTGAAAAATCAAAATCTGGAAATCATACAAAAGGAGCAGGAATTTGAAATTTTAAAGTAGAAACTGAAGATATTACAATTGAAAAATCAGAGAAAGAAAGACGCTCATAGCCTGATATTAAAAATGAAGCCAAAACAACTAATAAATACAAAGATGTCTTGGTGAAGGACCAAAAGACCCAATCAACCATTGTCGAGAAAGAAAGGGCACCTAACTGGTACACGGTGCACACCAGACCAAATATTGGAGTTTATCAAAACTTAGAGAATATATAAGTTTTGCCACCTGAATACTATCATGCGGCAAAAACTGAATTTGAAGCCAAGATGATCCTTAAAAAATTAAAAAACAAAATCACTGACAATTACTATCTTTTTGCAGCAACACTGGTAGTTAAGTCAGAAAAGACGAGTCGGGTAAAAAAAAACCATTGAGTAAATAGGTAGGGTAGCTGGGTCGGGTACCGTGGAACCCGACTCGACCGGGTCCGCGGTTATGAAAAAATTAACCCGAGTACAACCTGCGACCCGTTATTTCCGGGTTTACCTGACCCGGTTTTCCAAGTTACCTGACCTGGTGGGTTTTCTGGCAACCCTAGTGCAGATAGTATTTGCCTTGTCACATGAAGCTGGATTCTTTAGTCAGGGAAACAGAGATATGACTTCTTCTGTCGCGGAGTGTAGAATCTGCCGGGCCAATGACTAAGGTAGACAAGGGCGTGAATCTCATCAAATTTAGACTAACAAACAGTGCTCTTGATTTTGCAGGTCTTAGCAAGTTGACTCCAACTCAGCTTTTGTGATTTCAATATACCAATTATACATTTTGGGTGGCGGTTAGTACCGTAACATAAGTCGGCAAAACCAATAAATAGTTTGGCTTCATTCAACTAGAAAAGCACCAAGTTTGTTAAATACAACAAAATGTGACGAATTTCAAAAGCAAGTGTAAAAGGAAGGGTAAAATCATAAGCTTCCTAACTATAGCATGAAACGAACCACCCCTAAATAATGTATATGGCCAACAAACAACATGAAACGAAACCTCAAAATACCCACAGTTGCCAATGGGTGGTGATGTAGATCCTCATGTATACTGTTTTTGCAACTAAATGTTGCAACAAGTCGCGCTCTGTTTGGTGGCATATATATCTGTCTTTGAAGAAGTTATCTGATTTCAACAATCCATGAGTATAAGGCGTAGAAAAAGCTGGTTATGCCCCTGATGCAGGTTTGTGGTTTCTAAGCCCAAACAAGTTTTCGAATAATTTAGGGGCCATAGGTGGGAGGTTCATGGGCCGAGGGGCCATGAAATTGACAATCTTTTCATGCACCTGATACCTGAATAAAAAATCATGTAAGGGACAAAGAAAGTCCAAACTGGATGCCTTGGATGCAGCCCAAGAAAGAGCCTAAGACATATATAGTGCCCCATAAAAGTAAAAGTTCAACTTACCTGATCTTGCGACTCTTTGAAGCACGACGGTCAACAATTTTTCTCTTCTTAGTTTGCAATCTTTTCAGAGCATAGAATGCCGTTTCTGTCAACAGCAAGAACATATTTTGGCAATGTCAACTCATTATTATTCATGTTTATTTTTAGTGTTGTACTTTTCTTACTTAAAATGAGATGCCGAAAGGTGCAGGAAGAATTCACATTCATGAGTTACAAAGGGTAATGACTACTTGATACGCAATTCAATTAAAATGAAACAGAACAAATCGTTTCAATAGAACGCCAATTTGATACACAATTTTCTTTGAATGGTAGTAGACCAGGCATAAAGTCAATTTTTTTTATTGCTTTCACAAAATCTCATGGTGTACTAAAATTAGCGTTTTTTCTAGTTTTCCTAGTGATAATATGACCCAACAAAAGTGTGCAATTACTAGTTCCAAAGCAAGCCAAACCCTTTAAACCAACCCAAAGCACAAGAAAATTTTATAAATACCCAATATCTTATCAGCTATGCAAGAATCTGAAATACTGGCATATAACAGTTACAAGGCATGTAATACAAAAATATATATTCATTCTACATCTTTATAGATTAGAAAGTAATGAGCAAGCTTTAACTAATAAATACCGGATGATGAAGGGTCAATTGTCTCAAAGAACTCTTTCAGTAGCTGCTGGTAAAATTCCGAGTCATCCAAAAGTTCAGGGTCACCGTTCACATATGATTCCTGGTAATAGTAAGGCATGTTGGATGGTTACTCTAAGTGGACTAAATTCAGATACACATTATCGCAAGTTATAAATAATACAATGAAAACTTATAAAGACAAGGAACCATTCTCCCGCATGATGATTTCTCCAAGTCCAACAATTTAAAATGACCCATTCAGAAGATAAAAGTACTCATTTTTCCACATATCATCTTCACAGAGCAAAATCATTTAATCCCAAATAATGGAGAAGTATGACAACAGCTGAATTAAAACGTTAATTAATAGCCTAAACATCCATGAGAAGGAGAAATAGTATTTCAGCTGAGAACAGTGATCTTTATAGACAATGATAATCTAATGTAACTTAGAAAACTACAGCAGATAAGCATACCACCATAAATGAAGCAATACCTCTTGTTTCATATTCTCTGTAGATTCTGGAGCCTGATGATAGCAAATGAAACATTAAAAAAAAAATAAAAAATAAAAATAAAAATTCATACATATACAGAGAACATGTAAAATATTAAACGTATTAAAATTTGTCAATATTGAGCAAGGTATTAATCATTCCTAAGACAAGCTAAGAACTAATTTCAAACTTACATTTCCAAATACAGCAACAGCTGCTCTATTCTGCTGCATCCCTTTAGTCATTTTACTAGGATCTCTCATATATGCAGCAACTTGTTCACTTATACTCTGAAGGGTTAAATCATCAGATCTTGTATTTGTACATATTATGCCATAAAATAATATCAGCAGTCTCAAAGGAAACCTGATTAAAGGCATGTAATTTGTCTTTGATGGCAGCTGCACCCGTTGTCACCTGGGTCTTCCTCTGCCATTTATCAATTGATTTGTTTCTAAAAGAAGCCATTCTACCACACAACACAATTTAACATTAGTCACAATCACGACACCATCATAGCCAAAATAGTGATAATTAAAATATTGTTTTTTTTAAACTCATTGAAAGAATACATCAACTGAGTTTTACTTATAATGGGATCCAAATGAACAATTCTTCAAGTCAAAGTGCTCCTATTGGTTGATTTTGTCAGAAAAGAAATGTTTTTGACCACACATGTTGCTCCCTCACTTTGCAACGATAGTCATCAATTACAAGACATAAGGAATGCAGATTAAATTATGGGAAATAACGATATAATTATTAATTGCCAGCCTCAGACAATTAGCAAATCCAGTCTATGCCTAATCCCCAGAGTATAGCTGGCATAGCTGGCAGAACAATGTGGTGAGGACTGACAAAAGAAAAACATCATTCTTTTTTTTTTTTATTGGGTCAGAGTGGAGGTGTAATTGAAATACCTTGATTGCATTTGAGAAATCTTCAGCCACTCTTCATCAATATCCCCATTTGAGTCACCGGACGCACCAAGTTGTTTGGAATCTCTCAAAGAGTTGCCTAATCAAAAACCATCCTTGTGTCAGGATACAATTAAAAATCACATTGATAGTTATTATCTCTATTCTCTAGATTTTTTATTTTCTTTTGGGGTGTGGAAAAAAACAGAAATTCCACGTACATTTATTGGCCTAAGGAAACAGGTTGATAGTGGAAGGTTACTATCTGATGCACTTGGATCTTGAAGCACAGTAAACATTAGATTTCAAGCTGTGCATCTTGAATAATAAAAAGTGAAAGTTTTTACAAATAATTTTGTTCACTGGACAGAGGGGTGCATATTTTGCAAATTGTGGGCTTCTACTGCCTTGGGAGGTAATAATATTATTAAGGTCATAGGACAAAAGAGAAAAAGGGAAGCTTTAAAGAGAATTCTTATGTGCTGCCAAACAATAAAATAATGCTCATATCACTTCATGTGAGGCTAAACTGTGGACCTTCCACCACAAAGTTCTGAGACATAACTGGAAACATGCATCCTACTGAGAAAAGATGGGACAAAGGAAATGCAAACTAACATTCATACCTTCTCCAAATTGAGTAATTGCTGGATTGTTTGCCTCCAGTGCCTGCCAAAATTTTATTCAGTTAACTTCAAGAAAAGAAAAAATGAACATAACAGGCACAGATACATTTTGCAAGAAAAATTGTATTAAGTCTATGGAATATTATTGCAAGGGAGGCTAATGTGATGAAGTACTTCCAACACTATCCAACCTGTTGTAATTCCAGTATAGAATCCAAGGTCTTCTTTGAGGAATCAATCAAATCTGAATATGCTTCACTGGCATCACTATCCATGTCACAGAATAAAGATCTCACTGGTTCCTTCATATAACATTTTTCCTTCGGTTATGATGTTTACGAGCACTGAACACTATAAAATGGCATTTAGATTGGATTGATTCTCATATCAAACCTGTGGAAATCTGTTGGAACTTGAAAAAGGTTTTTGCAGCAAGAATCTGAATTCCAGTGTCTTGTCCCATAGAGCCTAATAAAGCAAAATTGGACGAGTATATCAATATAAGCACTCAGTATGGCATGATGAAAATGAACAAATAAAAGCAGACAGCTAGACCAGCAAGAAACTGGGGGGAACACAATACAGAAAGACAGCACAGTTCTCTTCTTGCTAGTTCAGAAAACGCAAGTGACACAACCCCAGATAGAGACCACCAACAAAATTGAAGTTTTCATAAGAACAAAAACTTATGCTTAAAATAAGCTAGTGAAAGATCTTTGGATATATAACTAGAGAAGTCAGACCAAATTCAGACGTAAAAATTGATTGAAAGAATGATACAGATAAGGAAAATGTGAGGATTCGATGATGTCATACCCTTTGGTTTTTCACAGCTTGACCTTTTTGAAGATCCTCATCCTTATGGCGCTTCAAATTCTTCCACAAATTTCTGAAGTCATAAACCGTGAGTGAATTAGCATAACGAAATATATTAAGATCTTCTCGAGAACAGGTACAGAGAAACAGTAAAAATAAGAGTTTTATAGGAATGGGTTACTTGTTACATTTTCATAAAAATCTTTTCAAACCAATATGAACGAACAGAGACCTCTCCGGTTAATAAACTCTTTAAATTTTACTTAGTAATTGGGATTGAATTACTGCTCTTTAACTGCAGTTTATATCATTTTCAGAATCACACTATTAAAGTAATTCTTCGATTATTATGCACTTTGTGGCTTGGTTAAAAAGTTAAAGTTTATAAGAAAGTAGCCTTGAATCACAGTTTAATTCTTGTCCAGAAAGAAACTAATTGAAAGACACAAAGCAAATATTATAGAAGACAGCTATACTTACTGCTCCCTATTTCTAAGCTCTCTATACTCTTTCTCAAGCTCTTCCATCTCCTCCCCTTTCAGAACATTTTCATCTTCGCTTACACCATCATGGCCCTCTTCTGAGCCTTCCTCTTCAGTTTGCTCGTCCTCATCGTCATCATCATCATTATCAGCACCATCTTCACCCTCCTCGTTATCATCATTAACTTCATCATCATCTTCATTCTGGTCATCCAATTCCTCATCATGAATATCGAGGTCACTATTCTCGTTGTCATCCACCTAAAATTCAGGGAAAGAAACACAGAAGAAGAAGGTTCATATAAAAGAACTGAAAAAAATCAAGCCACAAAATTGGAAAAAGGGAGTTGATCCAACATGCGCAATTCCATCCTCCATATCACTGTCGATTACCAAATCGCTATCACTCTCTGCCATCTTCATAGGTTTTTTCTTCCCCATTAGATGAAGAACCTGAACACACCAAAATACATTGCAAATCCAATCAGCAAACGAATGCTAAGAACTACACCATGAACTTTTGTGGTCTCTTAACGGGGAACTTAAACTTCACATAAAGCTAATTTCTTTTTAGTTTCTACACAAGGGAATTTTAGGAACTAGGTTTAGGGTTTTAAAGTTCACACAAAACTAAACATGTCAGAACGGGCTGTTTGGCGGGGGCGGCGCGCCATCCAGACGGGCCGACGAAATGCCAGCCTCGCCCACCCCCACGCCCACGCCCGCCACGGGCAGTGGCTCTTAAATTGTTTTTCAATAAAATTGGTAGCAATATTAAAGCCTCCAAGGCAAACAAACTGAAAAAATGAAGCAATGTTGTCGCTTTGGGTGTGTGTGCGCAGTAAACAATTTAGCAAAAAAATACAAAAGAGGAAAAGTTGAAGCCCAGCAAGTGAAGTACCAGCGAGCAGAAGAGAAGTACCGGCGAGTGACTGAAGCCGACGGAAAGCTGTGCCAGCGCCGGGGCTGAAGAGGTGGGTGGGTGGCCGCCGCGCGATTTCTAATGGTGGTACTAATTTTTATGCCCTTGATTTGGGGCTTAGATTAGGCTTTATTTTGTTACTGTCATATCTTCCGTCCACCAAATCTATTTGTACTTCTATAATGTTTGGGTCTAATTTTACTTAGACCATCTCCAACCGAAAAACCCATTCTCAAACCCATTTTGCAGTAACTGTCACATCAAACAGTAATTCATCTCCAACCGAAAAACTCATTCTCAAACGCAAAAGAATATTTCAAGAATATTCTCATTTTACATCAGCTTTTACAAATTTTCAATACCACCCATATATTTTACAACTTTACAAATTTTGAACATATTAATATTTTAAAATTGATTAAAAAACCAAAAAGAAAATTAATTATAAATTAATAATTCTTAAGCATAAAACTACATATATAAAAATATTTTTACATAGAGAAGACAAAGACTAATTTTGGTTTATAATATACTTATTTACGCTATTGTTTTAATTTTTATATCAATTGTTTTAAATTTCATTTTTTATAAGGTTATTTTATATAGATTTAGTAATAATATTTTCTTATAATATTTTTGTTAGCTATATTATATAGAGTGTCTGTATGAATATTTTTTACAATATTTGAGAAATACTCATTTACAAATATATATATATATATATATATATATATGTGACATAAATTTCACCATATTGGATTAAATTTACTATCAAATATATATGATGACATAAATTTCACCATATTGGATTAAATTTACTATATAAAATATAGTAAATTTACTATATACATACATATATAAAATAAAAATTTTCATCATAATAACAATTTAACACAAACTTGAAAAATAAAATATAATTTTTACACATATATATTATATATATATACTATCTATATATTTTTTAATTGCACATACATACAATTTTTACACCTATATATATATATATTTAGTTTTTTAATAGGAACATACATACATACTTTGAGAGATAGAGGGTTACATTGCAATTTTGTGAAATACAAACGCATATTTTGCGTCAAAACGCAAATTTGCGTTTCTGGGAGGAGAGAGAAGGTCTATATCGCATTTTGGGAATGCGTTTGCAGTACCATTGGAGCAATTTTCACCTCATAATTTGAGTTTTGGAGTACGGTTGGAGTTGGTCTTATATGTCATGAAATTAGACCTAAGTTTGAATATATAAAAGTAACAAAATTAATTTCAATGCAGGGACAATATGTCCACTTGGATCTAAAATAAATTTAAAGATAGCTCATGTGTGTCTTTTTTGTTGTCACATCAGCGCGACCTAATCCACTACACTTGCATTGAAGTATATATTTTTTTTTTAAAATAGTTTCTTTTTTCTCACGTAGCTTGTATGCTTTTTGAATGAATCTAAACCATGGTGGATTCTCTAAACAATGTTCACAAAGTCGCTCATCGTGCACTGAATTGTAGCGTAGCAACTAGGACGCTTAGACGGAATCAAAAGAATATTCATAAATTTGTTTATATTTGTAATTATGCATAATTTATAACATATTTTATATCCAATATATCGATTATCATAGTGTTATACAAAGTAGTGTTGAAGTTACAACGGGAACCTATGAACTGATTGAAGTGT